AACCTATCGAGATCTCAGATCTCATTGAATCAATGATTTACCAGAAGAAATGACTCCCAATTGAAAGTATATTCTCATCCTCTGCTCTCTTTTTTTCCTACTGTTGTGTGCTTTGCATTTTAATTTTACTCAATGTTGATTTGTTTCTCAGAAAATAATGGAGGAAAACTCCTCCATTCTTAGGTTTTCAAACAGAAAGAGAGTCAAGGGACAACTGTTGGCTCAAAAACCTATCGAGATCTCAGATCTCATTGAATCAATGATTTACCAGAAGAAATGACTCCCAATTGAAAGTATATTCTTTTTTCCTACTGTTGTGTGCTTTGCATTTTAATTTTACTCGATGTTGATTTGTTTTTCACAAGTTATAAACTGTTCACTGGTGATGAAAATTTTCAGGTTAAGTCAGATTGCAAGTTTTGTTGATGTCATCAGTTGCAGAAGCAGGATATCTTGAAGAACTTTATGTCTCAGCATCCAGAGTTATAAAACTTACTATCACACAGCCAATACCCCGGGCACTATCAAGGATGAAGACATACAAGCGTTAGGGACTACACTTGGATGCCAAAAGCCAAGCTCTAATTATGCCAGTGTCGTTCCATCCACCATGCATATAATCTAGTTTCTGACCAACTCTCATTCACTCACCGGTGACATCTGACCATATGATGTTGTAAAATATAGAGCTTATCGAAGGGAGAAGTCTTTTTTTTTTCTCTTTCGGTATACGTACTATTATCAAACGGAAAGTGTATGTGAAGTGAATTTTTCTGTCTGGAGATGGCTTAGAAGTACTGATTGATTAATGAGAAAGTTTTCCGCTCTAATTTCTTACTATAAATTTCTTTACTTTGTGCATTGACTTGTTTATCTTTGAAATCTATCCAATATATATGGAAACACAGAGAAGCTTCACTTAGCTTGGTAATTAGAAGACTCAAAATATAAAGAGGAACAGTTACATAAACTAAACATTTCTGCATAGACCCTTCTTATAACAATTAAACAGGGTGACATAGAAAGCGATAGCTAGTTTTTTGAAGGATATATCAAGCTTTTTGGAATGCTTAATTTTGAAATTAATGTAAATCAGGTTGCTGGAAATGGGCTAAGCCTGGCCACAGGGATACAAACCAAGGGATGAGCCCTAGGAACCGTGATCCCAGGCGCCTCTTCCATGTTCACAGAACCTCCACCCTTAACCTTCCAATCAAAGCATTGAATTATAGCAGCCACAGTTGCCTGCACAACCTGAAGAGATAAGGTAGTTCCAGGACAGATTCTTCTTCCACTCCCAAAAGGCAGAAAATGAAAATGCTGCCCTCTCACATCCAAAGGGCTCTTCCCACTGCCCTCCTCAGCAAGAAACCTCTCTGGCTGGAACTCAAGTGGGTTCTCCCAATGATTTGGGTCCCTATTGATAGCCCACACATTCACAAAGAGCCTGGTCTTTGCTGGAATAGTATAGCCATTGATAGTGCACTCTTCTGTGCTCTCTCTTACAACCATTGGGCCTGCTGGGTGAAGCCTCAGCGTTTCCTTTACTATTGCTTGGAGGTAGGGAAGGTTAGCAGTATCAGATTCTCCTACCAATCTACTCTTTCCCACTACAGAATCAATCTCTTCCCTTGCTTTTTCCACCACATTTGGGTGGTTAATTAGCTCTGCTATAGCCCATGACATTGTTGATGAAGATGTGTCAGTCCCAGCACCAAACATGTTCTGTAAAAGTTCATATGTTAGATATGTCAGTTTCCTTATAGCCCCAAAGCCAAAAATAAATACCAAAGTTTTTGAGCTACCATGGAATCATGTAGACAATAATGCCGATACACAAACTTAAATACCAAAGTTTTGGGATCTTAAATGATATATTGGGTGACTTGAGAGCACGTGTGGCCGTTATGCCCAACATGTTCTGGTACTATGAAGAAAGTTAAGGTTTCACCCCAAAACCAACTGTGAGTATGGGACACTAGCTAAACTCCTTATAAGTCCATCATTGGTCCCTTGACTTTCTAACGCATGACAAATACTTTCAACACAACTTTTTCATATTTGTTAATTAATTTGGAAAATAAAATTTTGACGACTCTAGTCTCTAGCTGATAAATGTATGCGTAAAAGACTATTTACCATGATAAAGCTTTTAATGTTTTCTCTTGACAATTTGATCTCTGAGCCTTCGTCTTCATATATATCAAGCAGAATATCAAGCAAATCCAATCCATCGTCACCCTCCCTTTCCTTAATCCTCTTCCTCCTTGCATCTTCATGCTCCTTTATGATCTTTCCCATCATGTCATCGTACCTATCCCGGACCTCTTTAAGCCTTTTCCCATATCCTTGCAAGTCGAAATTCTTGCAGAACCAAAACATATCTGTAAAATTAAATTTCCCAGCAAGCTCATTCATCTCTCCCACCAACTCCCTCACCTTGTGGGCTTCTTCGTCTTGTTCTGAACACCGTCGTTTTAGTGCCATCCTCGATATGATGTTATTGCTTAGCCGCACAAGCTCTGACCCAACATCTAGTTCTTCACCTTTATCAGCTTTGCTTAGCACAACATGTAAAAACCGCTTGATCTCGTCATGGCGAATCGGTAGGTTCTGCTCTAGGATTCTGCCTCCGAGGAGTTCAGTCATGCAAAGCTTCTTCATGAACTTCCAGTAAGGTCCATAGGGTGCCATGGCAAAGTCCGTTGAGCCATAAGTGAGGTAGTCTACATTCGCCATCTTGGGGCGGTTCAAGAAGGACGTTTCATTGGTTTTGAGGAATTCTTTGGCCATTTCTGGTGAGGAGGCAACGACACATGGTATGGAGCCAAAGAAGAGGTGAATTAAAGGTCCATAGCGGTTTGAAAGCTTGTGCAGGCCTTGGTGAGGGATGCGGCCAAGGAGGTGGAGGTGGCCAATGATTGGTAGGGCTCGTGGACTTGGAGGGAGACTTCTAGGCTTGGTGAAGATGGTTCGGAACAAGATGAAAGAGACTAACCATACGAAGAAAAATACAAGGTATTCAAGGAAATTAGCCATAATCATTTGACTACTGGACTATTAACAAAGAGTGCTAGAGGTGATTAATTCCATGAAAAACACTTATTGATAGCTCTTATATATAATCTTCTAAATTATGGAGGTGGAGAGCTAATCACATCAATGAGATGACGATCAATGTGCTAATTAACAATTAACGATAATAATTGAGGCATATAAGCTCACATCAATTGCCCCACTTAATCTAATGCGTAAGAAGGTGGTCCTTTAGCATTGTCCTAAAAGATTAATCTTTTACAATTAACAATGGGTTATCTGCCTATGTGGTTTCATCATGTCAATATCAAGAATGCGCTTGAGAGTGTTTCTTGGTTGAAACACTTCAAATAATCAGAATGAATTTTAAACAAAATGGACATGAATGTAGCCTTTTTTATGTTATTCAACAAATGTCGCCATAAGATTTAACCTTAAAACTTCTTCAACAAAGTGGAGACTAAATGTCACTAGACCAAATGATCATTGCCGATCATCCCAAATTACGGTGTTGAAGTCAATCTTAACAAATAAATTGCAAGACCTGCTGCGACTAATTGTATACTGGTAAATCAAAGATCAAAGCGGATAAGAAATTGTGAGATTCGCATCACATATATGCGATAATACAAGTATATATATGCAACAAAACTGTTTCTTATCGATTTGGGGATCATTGTCTTCTCTGGTCATCATGTCCTCCCCTCCATTATTTTATAATGTGAAACAAATATCCGTACGCCCATTAGCTGTTTGATGTCAGCCAATTTTTTGTCAAAAAAACAAAAGAAATAGGATTTTAGGACCACAAATAAAAATAGGGTGATTCTAGCTAATGTGGTCCTTAAATCATTAAACGTACTTTATAATAAAATTGTAATTGAAGTCACCCCAAAAGAATAAAACTTTAGATGTATAATAGACATCTGACCTAACATCGTTTGTATTAGGAGGACTGTTTTTGGATAAAAGCTTTTGGACTTCCTTAATTTTCAATATGATGTAAGCCTAGGGACCAGATGACTAGGATGGGCAAAGATTAATTAAGAAAGATACTTATCTTCATGACCTTCTGTCATTGATTGAAGGACTATTTTTATTTAATTGTTGTATTTTCAATAATTGATCAAAGAAAAGGAGTGACTTTTTAAGTAACACAATTTTAGCGCGTAAAGTTCATCTTCGAAAACAATGAAATTGATATGCGGATTTCATTAACAAGTTAATACTTCTAACGTCTCATTAAGCATTTTACACTGAGAATTCAAAGTCAAATCTCTTGTTCTAAGTAAATTCATAGTTCTTGTGGCACTCATTTTCTTGGTTGCTGAGTTTTGGATTCTGCTTTGTGTTCTTTTTCTTTCCCCTGTCTTGCTTAAAATGGGCCTTGATCTTTTGCAATCAAAAACACCTTCATGGAACAAAGAAGAGTGACTATGGTGGTCTGGATTAATTGCTTTGTGGCAGCTTCGACGGTCAAGTATGGAACGGTTGAACCCTGAAAGGGGATTATTTGGGTAACCGCTCTAAACAAAAATTAAGTACATAAATTTTCGGCAATAATTTTCATTACTCCATTAATTCAAGTACGTCAACTTCGGTCAATGGGGCTAGTCTAGTGGAAAAGGGCTCCCATTTCCTAACTTTGGCAACAACAACAAAAAATGATGGATGGTGTACCCGGAACATGGAAAAATTACTCCAACAGATAATGAGCTATATCATTTATCTCCTACGAGGTAATCCCAATTTTTAAAACTCATCATTTACTACGTTTTGAACATATTGGTCCTTGCCTTTTCCACGTCCAGCTCAATGCTGTTGAATGACAAGTAATAATAGGTTCAATCAGTCAAGAGGCAATTGCTTCCACAAACTTCATTTTGCTTTACCAATCGGTGGGCAATTGTTTAATTATATATGATTATGATGAATCGTGATACAGACATTATTAGATTGATATCTGTACTACTGAATAACAATTTCCTATTACTTATTTGTATTTGATAAAATAAAACAATCTTTACAATAACCAAACTTAACCCACACACACACGCATATATATAAGTAGCCCTTCATACAAAACACCTTTTTATTTGAAATATTCCACAATGACATATGCTTAATACGGATTGAGACGTGCTATAGGGTATAACACAAGTGGTCTTGCCATTTCTGCTGCAAACCCTGACCCTAATTCCAAATCAATCTTCTCCCCATCCTTGACTTTCCAATCAAAGCACTGTACTAAGGCTGCAATCGTCGAGTGCATCACCAGCATAGCAAGAGATGCACCAGGGCAACCTCTCCGCCCGCTTCCAAACGGGACGTATCGAAAATTCTGGCCCTTCAGCTCCATTTGATGCTCTCCAATTTTCTCGTCTGAACTATCCAGAAACCTCTCTGGTATGAACTCATCTGGATCCGTCCACAAATCTGCGTCGCGCATGATTGCATAAGCATTGATTAGGATGCGTGCTTTTGCCTTAACAATTGAACCATATACCTTGCAGTCCTCACCACATTCCCTAATGATGAAAGGTCCTGAAGGGTGAAGCCTTAGGGTTTCCTTGATAACAGCTCGAAGATAAGGGAGATTTGGGATGTCTGATTCTCTGACCAACCTCTTAACCCCCACAACCATATCGATCTCCTCCCTGAGCTTCTTGTAAGCTTGTGGATGACTGAGGAGCTCTCCCATGGCCCATTGCATGGCTGCTGATGACGTGTCAGTGCCGGCCATGAATATGTCCTAAATAAGCACATTCAAAATTATAAAACAATTGGGTCAGTAACAAAAAGTGTTTTCTTACTCGATATCTGATAAGTTATGTTATCACACTGTAAATTTGGCAATACACTTTAAAATAACATTTCACCTAATTAATGGTCTAAATTAATTGTATGTCAATGAAAGGGAGACAGAGACAAAGAGAGAGAGATCAATATAGCCTGCCAAAGAATTGAAGATCTTACAAGCAAGAAGGACTTAATGTCATTCCTTGATAACTTCACTTCAGAAGTAGGGTCTCTATATATCTCCAACAGTATATCCATCAAATCTCTCCCTTGCTCTCCTACTTCAGACCTTCCTTCATGCTCTTTCATGATTCTCTCCACCAGCCCATCAAACCGCTGTAACACGGATCCAAGCTTCTTCGCAGTACCGGAGAAATCAAATATCTTGAGAGGCCCCAACACATCACCCACACTCAACTTGGCTCCAAGCTTCATGCACTCATCAATGAGCTTCTTAATCTCCTCCGCCTCATTGTCACTTCCCGAGCATCTCGTGCTCATCACCATCCTACATATCGTATTGTTCGTCAAGGTCGTTAGTTCACTGCTCAAATCGCAAGGTTGTCCCTCTCTTGCCCTCTTTGTTACCTTCTCCACAAGATTCGCCACCTCCTCCGAGCGAATATCAACGGATAAATTGAGTTGTGGGGCAGCCAAAAGCTTATTCATGCAAAGCTTCTTCATAAACCGCCAGTACTCTCCGTAGGGAGCCAAGAGAAATCGAGAGCCTCTATAAATGAAGTGCTCGGAGGAACCAAATTCAGGCCTCGAAGAAAATATGATGTCATGAGTCTTGAAGATTTCTCTGGCAACTTCAGCACTTGAAACCACAATGCATGTGGCAGCTCCGAGGCGTAGCTGCATGAGAGGGATGCCATAGCGGCGAGCTAGTGTTTGGAAGGACGTGGGGAGGACAGAGCCAATGAGGTGGAGGTGACCAATGATGGGTAGGGCTGGTGGACTAGGTGGGTCTTGACTTGAAGGCTTTGGTTTCATATAGCTTTTGATGAAGAAGTGGACAAGGAAGGCAAAGATAAAGCAAATGAAGAATGGCAAGTAGAAATAGGGCATGTCAATAGGAATATAAGTGGCCATATGGATTTGTGGTAGAGCAAATATTGTTGATATGTTAGGGTTGGGATTCACAATTAGCCTAAATATATAGTATATGCTTTCCCTTTTGTTTTTGGGAGTGGGGTATCAATAAGGGCAGGCTTTCACTATCAAGAATATATTTACACTTTAACATTTGTCCCGTGGCTTTCACTACAAAGAAAGTTGGTATGGTGATGGGGTTGCTGGAAACCCAATTAGAATCTTGTTCCCCAATTTTGCTTTGTGGAAAAGACAAACAATAATAGAGTTTAAGAAGGTCCTTAAATTCTAAAATTTTGAATTGGGGTTTTGATCAGAGGACTGACCGATTGCAAAACCTAAAAGTCTTGTGTTTGGTGCTCTGCTAGCTTAGATTTTTATTATCTTCATCATAATTGAGTGGTCCTCGTACGAATGGTTGTGGTCCTAGAACATTGTTTAATAAGATAAGAAGATTAGGGCACCATCATTATGTGTCATCTCATCCTTAATTAAATTCCATTCATGTAATATAAAAATAAAAGTAAAAACTTGAACAGAATTAAACAACATCAAAAAAGAGGAAGAGGTTTTTTTTTTTTTTTTTTGTCAAGCTTGAATTTCATTAGATAAATAAAACTTATGGTAGATTACTCTTTGACAAGGCCCAAAAGAGTACATAGCTCACTGCCAAAACAAACAGAGGCCCAACAACAAAAGAGGCGCAGCAGACAAGCAAAAAATAAAGCAAGAAAACCTTAGTCACCATGAGTTATTTTATTGATCCAACGATTAAGAGACAGGATCTCATTTAAAGGCCTTATATAAGACTCTTATTGTAAAATTCTTGTAGCCGGCATAAGCAAGGGGAAGCCCCAATTGCCCTTTTTTATATTTGGGCTCGGTTTGAAGTCCTGGTCTTGGATTTGTCTTTTATCATTTTGTAAGATGAATAATTTCTTGTTTTTCTTATTGAAGAAATGAAAATCAAGCTAAGGGCCCATTTGTCATTCTACTTGGATCCAATTTTATAAACTCAAAAACATATTTTAAGTCCAAAGCCAAAAAATTATGTTTGATAAGCCCATTTTTAACAACCCAAACCCAAAAAAACTCAAAAACACCATATTATTGAAAACAAAAAAAGTGAGGTTTTACAGTTTTTTTTTTTCTCTCTCTCTCTTATGGCACCCGATCCGGTTTGTCTTTGCGAACCAATAACCACCAAAACCACCGAAGCAAGTTCAAGCTTTGGGTGATCTTCGGGCCAAGTGTTGTCGGCTCCATGTTTAGAGCCGGTTGGTGGTTCTAAGTGTAGGGGCTTTTTCGTTCCGACAGCTACTGCGAGCCTGGGCTGCTGTGAATAGCCAAACGTGTGAAATTGCCCCTTGTAGCTTATTGATACATGTGTAGATTTCTATATAGCTTATTGATACATGCGTGCCTGATAATTGGTTCATATCTAAATTAATTAGTTGCAATGTAGATAAGTTGAAGATAGTCGCTGGTATGGAACTTGAAAATTGATTGCCATACAATTTAAATGTTTGAAGTTTGGGGAAGGACCCAAACGACGATGGAATGGATCCCATAAAGTTGTTGAATCCGAAGTTAATCGACTTCAGGCGACACAAATAAGACAATTCGTGGGGCAAGGTTATTAAGAATTATTATTGTAATATATTTACTTTTCAAGTTAGTCTAGGGTAAATCCCACTAAAAGTGGATCTCGGCTTGTTAGCCTTAAAGTTAGACGTGATTGAATGTTGTATCTGTATATATACTTTATTCTGTTGATATGAGAAAAATACAAGAAAATATTCATCCAATTGTCCATCGTCAGTTCTATAACCCTTAAACCTACTTTGGTTTTCTTAAGATGGTATCAAAGCTCCATCCTGGTGCATGATTTCCTGATTATTTCAAACCCCCAGCCAACTTCCAACGCACCATGCCAAGTGCAGATCAAACACCACCAACAAACAACAATTCCAGTTCCAAAAATTCAAGCAATAGCAACAGAAACTCCAGTATGGATACATCAAATCCATACTATGTTCATTCTTCAGACCACCCTAGTCATATGCTCGTTCCAACAAAATTGAACGGTGCCAATTATCCATCTTGGAGTAAATCCATGATTCATGCCCTCACAGCCAAGAACAAAATTGGCTTTGTCAATGGTTCCATTAAGCCGCCCTCAGAAACAGAAAAGCCGACAAAATACGCTCTCTGGAATCAATGCAACAGTATGATTTTATCATGGCTTGCTCACTCTGTGGAACCTGATCTAGCCAAAGGGGTAGTCCATGCCAAGACCGCTCATCAAGTGTGGGAGGATTTCAAAGACCAATTCTCACAAAAAAATGCACCAACAATCTATCAGATTCAGAAGTCCATCGCCTCTCTCTCAAAGGGCACCATAATAGTCTTGGCCTATTTCACAAAACTCAAAGGCCTTTAGGATGAATTAGAGACGCATCGCACTCTTCCCACCTGCAACCAAATGAAAGCACACAATGAACAAGCCGAAGAAGATCGGCTGATGCAATTTCTCATGGGTCTCACTGATACTTACAGTGGAGTTCGCAGCAATATTCTCATGATGACTCCATTACCTAATGTTCGTCAAGCCTACTCTCTCGTCATTCAAGATGAAACACAACGACAAATGACATCGGGATCAACTGAAAATTTCTCCATCACTGCTACAATCCAGAGTCAACCAAACAATTCTTCAAATAATTCCAAGGGGCATTGTGAATACTATGAACAAGCCGAAGAAGATCGGCTGATGCAATTTCTCATGGGTCTCACTGATACTTACAGTGGAGTTCGCAGCAATATTCTCGTGATGACTCCATTACCTAATGTTCGTCAAGCCTACTCTCTCGTCATTCAAGACGAAACACAACGACAAATGACATCAGGATCAACCGAAAATTTCTCTATCACTACTACAATCCAGAGTCGACCAAACAATTCTTCAAATAATTCCAAGGGGCATTGTGAATACTATGATAGAATAGGCCATACAATTGACACTTGTAGGACCCTAAAGTTTCATTGCAAATTCTGTGACAAAAAAGGTCATACTGAAGATAGATGCAAATTTAAGAATGGAGAATGGATTCTTAATATTGCAGGAAACCAAGGCAGCCGATACAAACAGCAGCCACAGCAACGTGGGACCCAAGGAAGACGTTCTTCCTTCCATACTGCCAACGCTGTAGACTCTTCTGCAACCCAGGCACAAGACTTGCATGCGCAAGCCCAGACTTCCACTTGGGCTCAGCAGCCACAGGTTTTCCACAGTCCTACCCAATTCTCTAACTTACAGTCTTCTCAACAAAACCCATTAAATGGGTTTTCTGCAGAACAGCTTCAACAACTTGCTCATGCCATGTCCCTGATGACTCCAAACCATACTTTCGGTAATAACCATGCTTATGCAAATGCAGCAGGTCTATCTTCTTTACCCATTGCTTCAATTAATTCTATATTCACTAAGCCTTGGATTTTGGATAGCGAAGCTACTGACCACATCACTTTTGATTCCACACTTTTCACTAAGACAGAATCCTCACCAATACCTATTGTTAATTTACCAATAGGTTCTTCGGCCCCAATAATTTCCACTGGCACCGTACCATTCAATTCTGATATCACTTTAGATAAAGTTTTATGTGTTCCTTCTTTCCGCTTGAATCTCATGTCTGTGAGCAAAGTAACTAATTCTCTCAATTGTTGTGTCATTTTGTTCCCCACCTTTTGTGTCTTGCAGGACTTGGCTACGGGGAAGATGATTGGTGTGGGTAAATAGCGTGGTGGTCTCTATTACATGTCTCCGTTACAAAAGACCCATGTCTCCTACCAAGTTTCCCAACCCTCCAATTTATGACATATGCGGCTTGGACATCCATCACCTTCTCGTCTTAAATTAGTGTCTCCATTATTGTCTCCTCATGGTATTTCTTTTGATAATAATTGTAGTGTTTGTCCAATGGCCAAACAAACAAGACTACCATTTTCTTTAAGTTCAATCTCAACTCATGCTCCATTTGATTTGTTACATTGTGATATTTGGGGTCCACACAAAATTTCCACACATTCAGGAGCACGTTTCTTTCTTACCATTGTCGATGATTTTACTAGATGCGCATGGATTTTTTTTATGCAACATAAGTTTGACACTCAACACATTTTAAAATCTTTTGTTGCATTTGCTCATGCTCAATTTCATGCCAATATTAAAGCCATCCAAGTTGACAATGGGTCTGAATTTTTTTCAATGAGGGATTTCTTTCAAACTTATGGCATTGAATATCAACACTTGCGTTCACACTCCACAACAAAATGGAGTTGTCCAACACAAGCATTGCCATATTCTCACTGTAGCACGTGCCTTACTTTTTCAATCCCATTTACCACTTTCTTTCTGGGGAGAATGTGTCCTGACCGTTGTTTATCTCATTAACCGCCTCCCATCACCATTATTATCCACTAAATCACCTTATGAATTGTTATACCACCGTCCACCATCATTTACTCACTTGAAAGTTTTTGGTTGTCTATGTTATGCAACTGTTGTCCATCCTACTCACAAATTTGACCCCCGTGCTAAACGTTGTGTCTTTGTGGATACCCAACTGGTCAAAAAGGTTACAAACTTTATGACTTAGACACAAAGAAATTTTTTGTAACTCGTGATGTTAAATTTTGTGAAAGCACTTTTCCATTTTCTTCTATTTTGCCACTACCTGATCCCAATTCTATGTTGTCCTCTTTCTCCACTGATGTCACTGACAGTGGGCCCCCACCACCACTTTTTCCCACCACAAATCCACCTCCACAAGCCCAGCCAACCCCACAGTCCCATCTACCTGACCCAACCGAGATAGCCCAGATGTCAGCTAGCCCTAACCTACCAGACAGTCTCCCTGCCCACGCGCCTGACCATCACACCATCCTTGCTCCACCCGTGACCCCCCAGCCCACACCTTCCACACCCTCTGATACAACCACACACTCAGTGAACCAATCCCCTATTTCTTTAGCACTCCCAGATTCTTCCACACAATCCATACCCCCACTTTGTCAGTCCCTACGTCCTAAGCAACCTCTAGCATGGCATCATGACTACCACATGTCCAACCACGTCAATCACTCTGCCTCGACGCCTCGTCCTACCTCAGGTACTCGATATCCTCTTTCTCATTTTCTTTCTTATTCTCGTTTCTCCTCTACCCATTGTGCTTTTCTAGCTAACATTACAGGTCACACCGAGCCCACATCTTATGCTCAGGCTCAACTTGATCCTAATTGGCGACAAGCCATGAATGCAGAATTAGAGGCATTACAACACAATAACACATGGAGTATGGTTCCTCTGCCCGTTGGTCATAAACCGATCGGTTGCAAATGGGTCTACAAAATCAAATACAAGTCTAATGGCACCATTGAGCACTACAAGGCTCACCTTGTTGCTAAGGGATACACTCAGGTTGAGGGAGAGAACATTTTCCCCTACCGCTAAACTCACAACCCTCTGATGCCTCCTTACTGTTGATGCTGCCCGTCATTGGTTCATCCAACAATTGGACGTCCAAAATGCTTCTTCATGGCCATTTGCATGAAATGGTTAACATGGAGCCTCCTCCTGGACTTCGCCGACAGGGGGAGAACATTGTATGTCGGCTCAATAAGTCCCTCTATGGACTCAAACAGGCATCCAGAAGCTGGTTCTCCACATTTTCAGATACCATTAAAAAAGCAAGTTATCAACAATCAAAGGCTGATTATTCTCTTTTCACCAAGGCTCAAGGTACTTCATTTACTGCAATTTTTATCTATGTTGACAACATACTTCTCACAGGAAATGATCTTCAAGAAATGGAACGTCTCAAAAAGTTTCTTCTCAAACGCTTCCATATCAAAGATCTTGGAGATTTGAAATATTTTTTGGGCATTGAATTCTCTCGTTCCAAGAAAGGCATTTTCATGTATCAGAGAAAGTACGCACTAGATAATTTGCAAGACTCGAGACTTCTCGGCGCACGCCCTGACAAGTTTCCAATGGAGCAGAATTTGAAACTCACTCCTACAGATGGAGCATTGCTGAATGATGCAACTAAGTATAGAAGACTGGTTGGCAAACTTATTTATCTTACTGTCACAAGGCTTGACATAGTCTATTCTGTTCAAACATTAAGTCAATTCATGCATCAACCTCGCAAACCTTTGGGATGCTGCCATACGAATCCTCAAATACATCAAAGGTACTCTTGGTCAAGGTTTGCTATTTCTTGCTACCAACAATCTTGCCTTGAAAGCTTTTTGAGATTCAGATTGGGGTGGTTGTTGTGCCACCAGGAGATCGGTTACAGGCTACTGTGTTTTTCTAGGAAATTCTCTTATCTCATGGAAATCTACGAAACAAGCCAATGTTTCTAGATCTTCAGCAGAAGCCGAATATCGAGCTATTGCTAACACATGTTTGGAGCTGACCTGGCTATGCTATATATTACAGGATTTAAAAGTCCCACACATAGCTCCTACACCATTGTTTTGTGATAATCAGGCGGCTTTGTACATTGCAGCAAATCCAGTTTTCCATGAGCGTACAAAGCACATTGAGATAGACTGTCACACCAACGAGCCTCTTCTTCCTCGGCTTCCTTCACCAATTCATTGAAAAACCAGGTCTTTCTGAGCTTCAGAGGCGAAGACACGAGCCACAACTTCACAGACCATTTGTATAGCGCTTTATGTCAACGAGGCATTAACACCTTCAGGGATGATGATGAGCTCATAAGAGGAGAAGAAATATCAAGCGCGCTTCTTGATAACAAAGTTCAATGAAGACATAGGAAGAAACTTTGAGAAGAAGCTTGCAATTTCTTGTATTAATTTTCTCTCTTTTTCAATCTACTTTACAATGTACAGTATCTAATATTTATAGGACAGAAGCACTTTGCTTCTCAACTACGACTTAACAAACACGTGAACCCACGTGAACTTCTAACTAACTACACAATTCAACATGCCATGTCAGCATTATATACATGTCTTTTGCCAATCATCCCCCCTCAATCGCAGTGGTGGCTGGACCAACACTAAGATTGTGACAGTGTTTCAAAAATAATGGACTATGCAGGCCCTTTGTGAAAATGTCGGCAACTTGGTCTTCAGTATTGACATATAGAACCACCAAATCATGACGCTGAACCCGTTCTCTGATAAAGTGAAAATCAAGTTTTAAATGCTTTATGCGAGAGTGCAAAACTAGATTACAACTTAAGGCCAATGTTGATAAATTGTCACTATATAAGACTGGAGCTTCAGGAACAACAATATGTAAGTCTTGAAGAACATATCTGATCCAAGAGATATCAGCAGCACAGTTGGCAAGAGCTCGATACTCTGCCTCTGTAGAACTACGAGAGACAGAAGATTGCTTATGAGAGGACCAAGAGATAGGATTTTGCCCAAGAAATACTATGTACCCTGTAGTAGAGCAACGAGTATTGGGATCCCCAGCCCAATCCGCATCACTATAACCAACCAAAACAGAAGAACCATATGTAAATGTCAAACCATAAGATAAAGTGCCTTGCACATATCTCAATATACGCTTAACTAGAGTCATATGAATATCAGTAGGAGCAGTCATAAACTGGCATACAGTGTTCACAGCATATGCCAAATCTGGCCGTGTGAATGTGAGGTATTGAAGAGCTCAAACCAAGCTGCGAAACATTGTAGGATCAGTAAGTAATGTACCATCAGTTTTTCAGAACATGACAATGAGGCTTACAAGGTGTAATTGATGGTTTACAAGTTTCCATGCCAGCTCTCTTAAGTAAATCACTAGCATATTTAGCTTGGTTGACAAACAAATCACCATTGGAATGATAAGAAACCTTCAAGCCTAAGAAATAAGTAAGCTGGCCAATATCTTTCATATCAAACACTTGTCCCAAATCATCAATCACAGATTGCACAAGGTTAGAACTTGAACCAGTGATGATAATGTCATCCACATACAGCAAAAGAATAACCACATTACTACCATCATGCTTCACAAAGAGACTAGGATCGAAGTGTGAAGACACAAAGCCCAAAGCTGGAAGATATCCAGTGAATTTGGCATTCCAGGCACGTGGTGCCTGTTTAAGACCGTAAAGAGACTTTCGAAGCCGACATACATAATCTAGATAATGATCATCAATGAATCCCAAAGGCTGTTTCATGTACACTTCCTCCTGTAGATCACCATGAAGAAATGCGTTTTTAACGTCCAATTGACGCAAACACCATCTATGAGTTGCAACTAAACTTAAAATCAATCGAACTGTGGTATGACGAACTACAGGACTACAGGTTTCGTCAAAATCTATACCTTGTTCTTGACTAAAACCTTGTGCAACTAAATGAGCTTTATATCGAGCAATACGTCCATCAACATGTCTTTTAATTTTGTAAATCCAACGACAACCAACAATATTCTTATCAGAGGGTGGAGGAACTAAATCCCATGTACCTTGAGTTTGTAATGCTTGAATTTCCTCTGTCATAGCCTGCTGCCACTCAGACTTTGTACTAGCTTCTCGAAAAGTATGAGGCTCATCATGAGCAGTAATTGTAGATAAACAAGTGGAATAACATTGAAAATCACCAAAATCTTTCTTCTTGCTAATACCACTTTTAAGACGAGTTTGCATAGAATGACCATGCTGTGGAATGGAAACATGTAATTGCGCAGGATCCAAAATAGGTTGCATAGTCTGAGCAGAACCTAAGACCTCTTGAGCCACGGATGTAGATACTGAAGAAGATGAATTCTCATTTGAACATGGGAGAGGAGAGTGATCAGACTCCGTGATAGGAACATATCGATGAGGCAATGAAACTGCTATAGCTGAAGGAGATAATTGTGTCATGACAGAAGCAAATTGGGTTGAGGATACTGAACAATTCTTCATTGGAAACTGAGTTTCATCATGAATTACATGTCTTGAAATAACCACTTTATGAGTGTCAGGATGAAAATAAATAACACCCTTATAACCAAGAGAATATCCAAGGAACACATGCTCTGCTAATCGTGGCTCCAACTTGTAAGAATTATAGGGTCGAAGAAGTGGATATACTGCAGATCCAAAAACCTTTAATGATTGAAGCTCAGGATTATGACCAAACAATTTCAAGTATGGAGATGTCATTTGAAGAAGCTGACAAGGCATACAATTTATGAGAAAGGCAACATGAGTTGCAGCATAGTACCAAAACTTGTCATTCAAGGCAGCAGTAGCAAGTAATGTAATCGTGGTTTCAATAATATGTCTATTCTTCCTCTCAGCAACCCCATTTTGCTGAGGGGTATAAGGACATGAAATCTGATGAAGAATGCCCTTATAAGCCAAGAAATCTTTAAATGCTTTACTATTATACTCCCCACGCCATCAAATTGAAAATATTGCACAAAAGCTTGAAAGTGCTTAGTAATATACACATGAAACTTCATAAATGTGAGAAAAACCTCATATTTATTGATTAATGGAAAAATCCATAGGAATCGAGTACAGTCATCTATTATTGACACATAATATCTATATCCACCAAATGCTACAGAGGAGGAAAAACCCCATACATCAGAGTGTAAACACTGAAAAGGTAATGAAGAGCGAGACTGTGAAGTAGCAAAAGGAAGGTGGTGCATTTTACCACTCAAACAAAAACTACATAAACTCTGAGAGGAATCTGAAACACTAGAAATTTGAGACTATTTCAACATCTGAGTAAGAACTTCATTGGAGACATGACCAAATCTCTGATGCCAAATAACTGAAGATACTCGTTTCCCAAGTAAAGCTGTTGGAGTAGAGGCAATCCCATCAGCCACAATTGGTGAAGACTTGGTACTGGACCTAATTGACAAAGCACCAAGAGCTTGAGGAATTGGTTACAGACCCTTGTTACAGCAACCCTTGTACAGCAGAGCCTTCGTTGCTTTGTCCTGTACATAGATATCTGAGTCATCAAAAATCACCCAGCATTTATTATCCTTACACAATTGGTAAATGGATAACAAGCTGGTAGCCAACTGAGGCACGTGATAAACTTGATTGAGGCGAAGAGAACCAGAAATACTAGGAATGGAAGCATTGCAAACATGAGCAATCCGCAGACCTTCGCCATTTCCAACAGTTATTTTCTCATCAGCGGTATAAGGAGCAACTTGAGCCAACTGAGTCACATTATTGGTCATATGATGAGATGCACCACTATCGGCGATCCAAAACTCATCAGCAAAAAATAAAGGAGAGGTTTAAGTTGTCATTGCATGGAGCTGAGCAGGAGGTGCAGTGCCTTGATAGGCAAAGTTAGCTCTATGGTAGCAGTCAAAGGCTGTGTGACCTTTCTTTCCACAAATCTGGCATTCCACAACAAGATTAGTCACAGAAGAATTGTCAAGAACTCGATAGAAGCAATTTGGAGCAGTATGTCCTCGTTTGTTGCAAATTTGGCACTCAGGAATTACTTGAGACTTTTGAACAAAGGAACCAAAAGAAGGACGTGATTGAAAATTCCCCCTTGGATTTGAATATTGTGGTGATGAATTGTAATTGCCTCTGCCTCTGACATACCCTGAAGAAAATCCTTGAGAGGGTTGTGGATACCGGGAGTAAGAATTCGATTGAAAACCAGAATGCCCCAACTGTCTCACTCCAGCAAAACCATGAGAAGATGTAGGCTGTGTATGAATAATACCAACAGTCGATGTTGAGAGAGAAGAGGATTGTTAGCTAGAGCCTGGAGTGGAAGAAACAAAACTCATGAGACCAGACATTTGATGAGACAATGCCATCACCCGTGACTCTATTGTGCACTCAGCAGAATGCAATTGTGCTCAGAATTCCTTCATAGTGATGGGAGTCTCACGAGCAAAGATAATAGTCCTGATTATATCAAACTCAGCAGGAAGACCATTAAGAGCCGCATATCATCGTCAGTCAACTTGACACCAGCAGCCGTCAGTTAATCTCAAAGATGTTTAAGTCTGAGTAAGAAACGTTCAATAGAATCTGCACCCTTACTAATTGTGTGAAGCTCAGTTTTTAACTATGTGACACGAGACCTTGATACAAATGCATAACGGTCTATGAGATTAAGCCATGCGTCTCTAGCTGTCTTACAACCAACAACATATTCAATCGCATCATCTGAAAGAGTTGCAATCAACAAACTCAATAGAGCTTTGTCAATTTGTATCCACTGCTTGTATGCTTCAGTAAGGTCACCAGTAACGCCCTCACTTTCTGTGACAACATACTTAGGTGGACAACTACTAGAGCCATCAAAGTGACCATAGAGATCATAACCTTGTAGCACTGATTGGAACTGAAAGTGCCACTTAACAAAGTTATCCTCATTCAAATGAATGGTAAGAATTCCTAAAAGTCCTTCGATTTTAGGCATCACAAACGTCATTGTTGCAAAATAACAAAATTGATGCAGGCTTCGTGCCTAAACAATTTCCAGAGAAAAACAAGAAACAACTTGTCTAAACTAAGCACAGAACACCAAAGAACACAATCACCCAATCAATAATCGTTGATCTCAAACAAAACCTAGGAGGCTTCGTGCCAAAAAAAAAAAAAAAAATTGAAATCATATGCAAGAATAGAGATG